CTTAATTCTGGATCGTTTTGTTCCTTCAATATGCTCTTTAATTTCAATATAAACTCCAGTTTGCTCTTTGAAAAGGGAGCTTCAAAAGTTCATGGGAAAAATGGAATTGAAAGATCATGGAATTAAAAAAAAATCATGGAATTTTACTATAAACATTTTGAAGTACTATTAGATATTCGAATAGGGGTGATGTGCTGCACTGTGGAATGCAATTTCCTATCATTAAACATTTGCAATTTTAAATAAAGAAGGAAAAACTCCTTCTTTTCACTGTACACCAGGTACACCGTACAGCAAGGTAGGATTCTCTGGCTTGTTGTGTGCTAAAAACAGCCCAATGACCACTCGCTCACTGCCACTGAGTCAAGTATGACTACAGGGACCCTGTAAGATACAGGAGAACTGGAAACCTTTGCGTTTTCAATACTTTAAATCTGTATAGGAGCAGACAGCCTCATCTTTCTCCCACCGAGTAACTGGTGGGTTTGAACCAGTGACTTTGCAGTTAGCAACTCAATGCATAGTTCACTATGCCACCACAAGACCTAAATCAACTCGCGATGGCAATGATTTTTTTTTTCAAGTAGCCTAGTTCATTCCCAGAAGCTTGGCAAGTAGATTTCATGGAATGACTTAAAACCAAAAATCAGATGACTCTCAAGGAAGATTGAGGCATTTCCTTACGGAAGTGAAAGGACAAGTGAAATTGCCTGTGCCCTCTTGAAATCCAGTGACAGTGAGTTTCACTTTCTCACAGCAGTTGCCCAAAAAGGACCTTCTCTTCTGGGAATACAGCGGAGCCCATACTCAAGTGGAAAAGTAGAAGAGGGGAACCAAGCTCTAAAGAAGCAGCTCAGCAAGTCGCTGTGTCGAGAACATAGGTCGCCATAGACTGATGTTTTGCCGTTAGCTTTATGAGTCCATGTAGCCTCCTGGAATCCTGGTGGGTTACGACTTGGGCTGCCAAGCACAAGGTCAGCAGTTCAAAACCATCAGCATTTCCTTAGGAGAAAGATGAGGCTTTCTACTTCCTAAAGGTTTATCGTCTCAGAAACCCACCAGGGTAGTTCTGCTCTGTCCTACAGGGTCCCTGTGGGTCAGAGTTGACTCTGGCCATGAGCAAGTACAGCCTCCAGGGAAAAACGGAAATTAAGCCCTTTTGAGCTAATGTACAGATAATCATACTTGATCATTTTCCAACCTTGTGTGCCCTCTATCCAGTTTTGAAATATACTTGTGATGAACTATTTGCTTTCTTTAACCTCTGTTCTTTTACTTTTCTTTTTAGAGAGTCTCTATGAGCTGATTTTGCAAAATTGGATGCCCATGCCTCACATGACAAAATGAGCCAACGCACCCACCAATGGTTGCCCAACCTCAATTCTTTCTAAGCTTCACAAGGTGTTTGTTTGAGACAAAATTTTCTGTTAGAAGTCATTGAATGCTGCTTCCAACCTGCAGATCTGATCCTTCTCTGCACAACCCACCCAGCTGAGAAGCTCCAATGAATGAAACCATGTCTTCAACATACCAGGACCAAGCTATGCTCACACTCGGTTAAAACTAAAACCCCCTCCCAAGACCAAAAGGGATCCCAGAAGCAGTGGCTGACTTCTTCTGTACCTTCAGGATGGTTAAGCTTCTGTAATTCTTCTTTATTGCTTTTCACTTTCTTTCCACCAAAGACCAATCCAGGTGCTTTTTCATCACATCTCTCCTGTATTTCGAAGTGAAACATGGTAGATAGACTCGCCCAGGATGTCTTAAACATCACCATTGTTTGTGTACAAGATGGCCTTCAAGTCAATTCTGCCATGTGGTCTTGCCAAAGGGGTCTGTACCCTTCTTGAAGCTCTTTGGAATTATACTGTCTTTATAAATTTTTTTAAAAGAATTACACTATTTGGAGCTTTATAACAGTGAGGGCTCTGTGGTCTACATGAAGCCCTGGTGACCTAGTGGTCACACATTGAGCTCCTAACCAAAAGGTCAGCAGTTCAAAGCCACTCCATGGGGGAAGATGAGGCTTTCTACCCCTACCAAGAGTTACAGTCTCAGAAACCCCGTGGGGCAGTTTTACTCTGTCCTGCAGGGTTGCTGTGAGTTGGAATTGACTCCGTGGCAGTGAGCTTGGCTTTTTGTTTTAATAGCCTGCATAAAAACCACAGCTGTTTGCACTTCAGACAGTACACGTTGCTCGTGCCCCAGATTGTGTCTCTTTTCTCCAAGTCCATTGTATTACTTATTTGAGTATTAATAAGCAAGTGCAGTGCGGTTTTATGGGTAGGGTTGCTTATAGTCGTGCTCACACTAAGCTTCCTCTGATGGGTTACAAGATGGGCTGCTAACTCCAAGGCCAGCAGTTTGAAACCAGCAGAAAGATGAGAAGACAGACAGGGCATCCGCTATTAAAGGATAGAGCGTCAAGGGTCTTGAAGGCTTGAAGTTAAACAAGCAGCCAAGTTATTCCCCAGGTTGTCCCCTCATACTATGTGCCAAACCTAAGGTACTGTTTGCAAACACATGGCCACTGACGATACACTTGGAGGTCAACTGCTAACAAGCTATCTGTCTGAAGGTTGTCAGCCATCTAAAGCAATCAGGCCCTTTGTCTGTCCCACCCTAAATAGGGCTCAGGATAATGGGTTGTTCCCCTGAAGGAGAACTGAAACACCTAAGGCAAGCCAACTCAAGGACGACCAAAGTTAGGCTGCCATCTTGACTCTAGAGCCTGCCTATCTTGTCACGAGTATGCCTATTGTACAGTCCCTCCCTGTTACGCATGTGGTTACCTGTACATAGGGGGACTGGCACACCCCTAGAGTGTATATAAGCCTTGGATGGAAATATATTTGCTCTCTCTATGTGGATCTGGCTCCTGAAGTCATGCTGATCCTGAAGGTGAGCACTTGCATGCTTTATCTTGTCTGATGTCTCACTCATTTGACCCCTCAATTATACAACCGCCCCTTGGACCCGTTTGACTGTGGAGGCTGGTACCCCACACAGCTATCTAGCAGGGAAGCAACAAAGCCCACATGGAAAAAGCACACCAGCCTGTGTGATCATGAGGTGTTGGTGGGAATAGGTATCAGAAATTCAAAAACAAGCAATCAGATTGACGTGAAGGAGCATAGACAAAGTGGAGACCCAAAACCCACCTGTAAGGTAATTGGACAGTCCCTCAACGAAGGGCCACACAGAAGGGATGATATATCCAGGGTGTAATATAGCACTGATGAAACTGTCCTTAGAGTTCTTCATTACTTCCTCCCCTTACTATTATAGTCTTAGTTTTCCCTCGTTAATCTTGTTAGATCTGCGTATATTCATTTGTATAATTAAGATCATTCAATGAATGACACCCAAGATAGATAAACCCTACAGAAACAGTAATGGGGGAAATGATTCCCTGAGGGTACAGGAAGAAAGGGGGAGGAAGGAGGCAAGGGGGGAACCAATAGCAACGATGACTGTATAACCCCACTCAAGGGGAACGAATAACAGAATTGTAGGTGAACAGGTACACTGGATGGTGAAGATATGGCAATCTATATTACAAACACACACACATACATATATATTATTATTATTCTATTGTAAGGGTTCCCGGGAGGAGTGGGAGGGGAGAAAGGGGAGCTGATATCAAAGAGTTCAAGAAGAAAATGTTTTGAAACTGAAATTACTGTACAATCATGCTTGACCTAATTGAATTATGGATTGTTATAACATCTGTATGAGCTCTCAATAAAATGATTTTAAAAAATAAAGAAAGATGGGGCCTTCTCCTCCCATAAAGAGATACAGTCTAAGAGTTGTATGAGCCCCTAATAAAATGTTTAAAAAAAATAAGAGAGATACAGTCTTGGAAACTCATAGGGCAGTTCTAATGGTCATTATGAGTCAAAATAGACTCAATGGTAGTGAGGTTGGTTTTTATTTTGCAACCTAATAGTAAATTCTATATTCCTGCCAACTCGACAGAGGGGCTTTGTTCTCTTTGGGGATTGGCCATGACTCCCCCAAAACGTGCACCCCAGAATGAAAGGATGTAAAATCCATTTATCCTGATCATAAGTGGGATTCTATTAAGACAGCCTGTGTTGTTCTCCAACTCCACACTGGTGCCAGCCTTTAAAAAAACTCTTTTTCTTGGAGTTAGTGATCCGGCTATGCTGCTCCAGCACAGAAACCCTTATTTGGGGTAAAGTGCGGAGGTCACTTTCCTTTTAGGACTGTGATGGAGCATAGGACTCCAGCTGAGATCTGAGGAGCTTAGGACCAAGAACTGAGCTGTTCCCCAGGTAACCCTGTATGATGAGGACCTGCAGGTAGCAGTATCCACCTCATTACCGGCTCAAACGCAAGCCCTATTCTGTCCTAGAGCTGCCTGGGTAAGGGACCCAAGGCACAGGCCATGTCAGGACCTCACTGCAGCTGTCGCTTTTTGGTATTTTGTTTTGAGGCTATGTGAAAGAGAAATGTCAGCTTCTATGAAGGAACGAAAAGAACTAGTGAGCAGACCCTTGGGGTTTATGGTGTAGTCATAACATGTTTTTCCTTCCAGTCCCCGGGGGGTGAAGGCTCCCCAGCTGGGCGGGGCTGATGCCCTGGGGGGCGGGGGGAGCAAAAGTGTAGAGGACGCCTTATTGGTCCCATTTACAAGTGGGCAGCCAGTGGCTGAGGAAGATGAAGAGACGGCCCCAAGGGGGTGCCGATGGTGCTGAGGCCGGGCGAGGTCTGGAAGGAGAAGGCAGGATCTGACCCGGGGCCCCGGGGGAAGAAGCAGGCGTCCAGCTGCAAGCCCCTGGTCCTGAGCCTCCAGGGCAAACTTCTGTTCCCGCGACCAAGAACCGCCGGCACCGCGAGAGCGGCTAGCCCCGCCCCATGACGCTGCGAGCTCCGCGATTGGCTCTGCGCGGATAAAGGCGGGGCCAGCCAACCCAGCCAACGAGCTAGCGTCCGGCGCCGCTGGCTCGCTTCCTGTTGTCAGTGGCTGAGGGGCCGCAGCTTCCGGCTGGAGGCCGAGGTGCTGCAGTGGTCGGGAGTGTCCCCTGCTGCCTCCCCACTCTCCCTTCGGTGAGTCAGGGGTCGCTGGGCGAGGAGGGCAGCTGAGGGGCGGCGGGGCCGAGGAGAGAACGGGCGACGGGCCTTCAGCTCGCCGGAATCCCGAACCCCGGGCGGCCTTGAGCCTGCCCGACGCCAGAGCCCCCAACCCTTCCCGGCCGGTACCCCGCACCCGGTCCCGGCCCAGCCCGCCCCACTTCTACCACAGCCGGTATTGCCATGGCAGGCCTGTGCCCCCCTGCCACCCCACTCCGACCCCGTCCCTTCATCATCCTGTGTCAACGCAGCGTCACCCCGACCCTACTCTAGCCCGGCTCCCAGCCACATCCCTCTGCGCCCCCCACCCCATGTCATCCTCACCTCGCCACCCCTCTCCCTCCTCTGGTTTCTCCTTTGCTGCCTCAACCTTCTTTCTCAGCCTCCCACACCCCATCTCAGCCGCCAGAGGTCTGCTTACCTGAAGCACCTCAGCTGGCTCCTACTCTCATTAAACAGCCACCCCCAAAGTTCAGCTCTCCTCATTTTTCCTGAGAGGGCTGATCCTCGCCCTATCCCAGGTTTTGCCCTTACAGGTTTGTCCCCTAATTCCTTAGCCCCCCATATACTTCTTCCATTTTATAATTCCAGTCATCGTTCTACCTGCTGACATCTTAAAAGACACCCCATTTCACCCCATTAGTCTTTGCTAAACTGCTCTAAGCTCCTAACTGCCCCAATTCCTGCTAACCGTCAGACTGCCATCTCAAAAACCAAGTCTGCTCTCTCTCACCTCTGCTCCCCCCACACCAATGCTGCGCACCCATTCTTCTCTTGACATAGCCTGCATTCAACCACATCCTCTTCCAAGCTCCCCAGCTGCTCCCCAGCAGCCAAATCCAGGTGCTTGCTCAGAGCCAGAGAGTTGGAGACAGACTCTCAGAGGGTGAATACGTGTCAAGGTTTTGCTCCATGCCTGAGCCTCTGTACTCATTCCCAGGGTAGAGTGTCAAGCCTTCATGTTATATGCCGTCTGCTGGAATGGTAGGCAGCATGATCCCAGTATTTAAGCTGAGGGACGGTCATTCTTCCAATTCAGTAGACCCAGGGCAGCAGAGCCCTCGCTTCCTTTTGGCAGGTGTTCTGGCCTTGCGGACCTCAGAGTGTCACAGAGTGAGGAATGTCATGGTCACAGAACCCAGTGTTTTTACCAGCCAGGGCTGATTCCCAGTCAGTGCCAACACTCTTAACACAGGGTGGGATGCTACAGGTTGTGAAGAGTGTAGGTGAGTGGGTCTTCAGAGGCCAGGGCCTAGGTGGATACAGAAGTGGCTGAATCGCCACTTTTCTCCTGCAGGTGTTAGCTCATTGGGCTCTGACAGTTTTAGACAACTCATGAGCACAGGGAGCCAGGCAATGCTGAGGCATCCAGGTCCCATGATTGGCACTTGTCCTCTGGGACTTTGTGGTGCTCACCCTCTCCAAATTCTGGTGGCCTGGTTTTAAAAAGGGTTGGCCATCCTCATTTGAAAGGGCCCCCAAGAGAGCCCATCATCCTTGCTGACCATCCCATCCTTCTGGGCTCATTCCTGTGAAAGCTGAACGTGGTTGGACTTTAGTTTCCCTCCCTTAAGGTGCAACATGGTCGAACGGATTTCAGCCTCATCCACAGGAGCATAACAATGACGCCACCGCTTACCAGCTGTGTACCTTACCTTCTCACAGTCTGTGAAATGGAAGCAATGTAATAACACCTGCCCTGTGCCTTGTTTTAATCTCATTGTCAGTTCACTCAGAAGGGGTTTTGGAGCACCGCTGAGTGTCAGGCACTGTTCTAGTCACAGGAAATGCAATGGTGAGTGAGTCAGGCCGAGTTCCTGTTTTCATGGACGCTACGGTAGTCCCTGACTTACGAAAGTGTTCTGTTCCGAGGACTGTCTTTAAGTTGGTTCTGATGGAAGTTGGGTATCATTTTTCTTTTACATTTTTCCTGCCTTTTATGACCAATCTCTGTAAGTCCAATCTTCTATTGTCTTTTGGGACTGACATGGGACTGATCACATTGGCAAACTACATGTTGCAATATTGTATGTAGTTCATACTAATGATAAGATGCCCACATACACAGAAACGAGCAGGCTAAGTGCAGCTCTACTTGGCTTGGACTCATCCTAAGTTGGGGACTACCTGTATTCAGAATTTGGTCCCAGCTAGAATCCTAAGAGAAGTGGATACAGTGTATGGGGGAGATGCGGGTTATTGGAGGGAAGGAGGGCAGAGTGAAAGCTAACGCTTTGCTCACCAACTTCACAGTTCTTCCTGGCCCACTAGCCCTTAGTTTGAGATTCACAGGCTTCTAGATATTTCTCACCCACCAGCTGACACCTAATTGCTTCTGAATCCACCCTCATTCCTATCTCTTACACGACAATTGTCCAGAAAGCCAAGTTGCATTTCTTCAAGTGGAAGGTAGGTGCTGTTTACTTATTCATCCCTCACATGTCTTGACAGATCAGCTGCCTTTCTGAATCAGATGAGAATTTTGTCATTCTTTTCTTACTGGAAAAAAAAAAAAACGTGACTCATCTGTTGGTACAGCAGCTGGATGGCTTGTGCCAGGCCATTCTGAACAGCCAGGTACGTGATCTGCTTCCACCAGCACAGGGACGGCGGTGGGAGTGGTTGAGCAGTGTAAAGAGAAGAGGTTGCCGTTTTCTGGTGGATGGAATACTTTGAAAGCAGTGAAGCCAAGTAGCCACTTGCTCCTTTGATGTAAGTCTTCATCACAGCCATTCCTCTGTTTTCCTTCATCCTTGGTCTCTGGAGGAAGTAAAATTGGACTGTGTAGAAAGCAAGGGCATCTAATGAAAACGGGCAGGACAGTCCCTTCCCTATGCTGGGACGGTGAGAAGGGCAGCCCTGGGGCTTGGGTACTGTGGCTCAGGTGGTTGGCGTTACAGATCTCACCGGCAAGATGGTTAGTGGTTTTAGACCTTGAGTGGGGGGTGGGGGGAGGGCCGGGAGGCACTTCTGTTTATCTCCTTAAAAGATCTGTAAGTGATGGTTGTCTGAAACTCTAAGCCAGAGACCCGAGACAGTTTGATCTGGTGGAAAGGCATTGGGCTTAGGAGGAAGCCAAAGAATTCCATCTCAGGCCTGAGGCCCCCTGTTATAAAGCCTCAGCTTTCTCTCCTGTGCACTGCGGGGATCATCATTCTTCTCTCAGGATTGTTGTAAGGATGAAATGAAACCAGAGACAGGTCTGAAAAGCTTGATTGAGCTCACTCTGCAGAGCTGTGTAAGGCTAAGCCAGTGCCTCGGGGTGGAAGTGACTTGGAGACTGTAAAAGGGCAGCGTTCACTGTGATCTTTTGCAAGCATTTTATGGTGTTGCCCAAGTTCTTCCGACTTTGGGGCTCTTTGGAACTGTGCGTCTCTTGAATTGGTACTTGTAGATTGAAAAAACAAAAAACAAAAAAAACAAGCTGAGGATGGGAAGTGAAACCAGTCTCACGCGATGTTAGACTTGGGAACTGGATCGCAGGGTCCTGGAGCTTTGAGCCAGCAGTCAAGAGAAGAGGCCCAAAGCTCCATCCTGGCTCCGCTAGCAGTTTCTTGTGCTGTAGGCAGCCAGATACCTGCCTTTTTTTAAAACTTTGCTTTTTTTTAAACTTTGCTGAGGTCTGATGGCACAGGTGTGGGTGGGTAGGGTGACTTGGCTTCTTCACTGAAAAGTGGGTCCTGAACTGTAGCTTGAACCCCAAAGTCTCAGGCCTGTTTTTGTGGGTTGTCAAGTGGCAGGCTCTACTCAGGGATTCCTCTGAGCTACTGTCAAACATCTCTTGGCTTTGTGACACAGTTTTGGGAGCCAGTTACTTACTTGTCTGACCACTGAGTTTCGGTTCAATTTGATTTAGGATTACTTGACTGGGGCGCCCACTTACTGACACCTTCCCCTGCCTCTGCCCCCAAGAATACACTTATTATTCCGTTCTTATTGATGCTGAGAATATACACAGCGAAATATATACCAAGTCTACAGTTTCCACATAGACAGTGCATTGGCATTGGTTATATTTTTCAAGTTGTACACCCATTCTCACCCTTCTTTTCTGAATTGTTCTCCCCCCATTAACAGATTATCTCTGCCCCCTAAGTTTCCTATCTAATATTTCAAGTTGCTGTTATTGGTTTGATTTGGTCCAATATTGATATTTCTGAAAAAAACACAGTGCTTAAGGTGACATTCTTTACTAGTTAAGCTAAACTGTTGTTTGGTTGAAAGAAGACCTCTGGGGATATTTTTGCTTTAATGCTCAAAGTTTATGTCAGAGAAGACAGTTTCTGGGGTTAAAAATCCTCTTAATATTCTTAGTTAATTGATTACTGAACCCTCAGCGAACTCAGACCTATTCATATCCTCAGGGCCTTGGAGTGGGGAGGGGGAGGGACAATTTTGGAAATTGAAGGTTTGTCTAGAACAGTGGTTCTAAACCAGCAGTTCTCAACCTGTGGGTCGCGACCCCTTTGGGGGTCGAACAACCCTTTCACAGGGGTTGCCCGATTTATAACGGTAGCAAAATTACAGTGATGAAGTAGCAATGAAAATAATTTTATGGTTGGCGGGTCACCACAACACGAGGAACTGTATTAAAGGGTCACAGCAGTAGGAAGGTTTAACCTCATATTGTGGTGACCCCCAACCATAAAATTATTTTCGTTGCTACTTCATCACTGTCATTTTGCTACTGTTATGAATCAGCCGAGCCCTGTGAAAGGGTCATTCGACCCCAAACGGGGTTGCGACCCACAGGTGGAGAACCACTGGTCTAGGGTCTTAAGAGAACCTGGATTGCCTCTTGTTAAAAATGTAAGTTCCCAGAGTAACTCTGGAAATTTGTATAACAGCATATATTGATTGTGAGCAGATACAGCGTTGGTCACTTAGCTGCTGCTTGTTAGGCTGGAATCCACAAGGTTGGCAGTTTGAAGCCGCCAGCCACCTGGGGGAGAAAACTCTCTGCCTTATACAGTCGCTGTGAGTTGGCATCATCTTGATGGTAGTGAGTTTTTTGTATTTTGTCGGGTTTTTAAAAAATTTTTTAGAAACTCTCTTGAGTTAGGCGGCGTCAAACAGTATTGGGAAGGCACAACCTCACTGAAATGGAGGCTCATAAAAGCACGCTATATATGAAGGGGCTTCAAAAAGTTCGTGGAAAAATGAAGTGGAAGGGTAATAGAATTTTCCTACAAACTTTCGGAGGCCTCCCAGCTAGGTGGGGACTGTGCCAGGCGTGTCCCACGGTCCTTCCATGTTGGTGGCTCAGGAGATGAGTCAGCACATGCGAGATTTCAGGGCCAGTGAGGTGGAACAGCAGTCACTAAGAAGGTGCAATAGCACCCCAAACGTAGCCAGACTCTGGGATTCCCAAGGCATCAAACTGGTTCATACCAGATTGACCCCCTGCTGAGAATCCTCGGCCTTTCCACCCTCCAGACCCATTGCCATGGAGTTAATTCTGACTCCTAGGGACCCATAGGACAGAGTAGAAGGGCCTTGGGGGCTTCCAAGGCCAGAGCAAAGAGCCTCATCTTTTTCCTGAAGAGCAGCTGGTGGGTTCTTACTGCTGACTTTGTGGTTCCAGCCCGACAGGTAACCTGCTACATTACTAGGGCTCTTTAGGCAAAGGATCTCTTCCAAACTGCGCTGGTGGTGCTGTGGCTTGGGCATTGGGCTGCTAAGCTGATGGATTCTGCACAGGCGAGAGAGGAGACTGTCACCGCCTGGAGACCGTGTATTGTTGCTGTGAGTCGGACTCGGCTCCAGGGCTGCTTTTGGCAGTTACTTACTAGGCTGTTGTTTGATCTAAAGGTGCGACAGGAAGACAGACCAGTTCCTTAAAGACTCAGGGCTCCAGGGGACACCTAAGGACAAATGGGCTGGTGGTGGGTCACCCTAACTGCATGAACCCAGAAATCTGGATTCTAGAAGAATTGACATTGTGTCTCAGCTCATGGGGAAGTTTCCTCTGGGCTGGACATGGATAGCCTTGAGGGAGCCCAGCTTGCTCCAGTGATGACTTTGGGCTGGCCTCTGTTGTTGGGCCACAGCACACACATCCTTCCCCACCGTCCGATCACCAAGACTGGTGTTTGTCCCCAGGAGAGAGCCGCGGGAGTCCTCTGTGCTTTGTCCACTCTGGAGAGCTGTGCAAAGATAAACCCCTATCTAGTACCTGGGGGAGGGGGCAGGGGTGCTGGCCTGATCGGAGGTTTTCTAAGGACAAAAGCCACCTCTAGTCTTGCTGTGGGGATGGACACTGTGAAGAGTGTGGCAGTCAGACAGGGACTGTGTTGAGAGAGTGCATTTTTGCAGCTCTCCAAGGGGCCTTGACCAGAACTGAGTCTGCAAGCTGAGTGCTGGGCATGTCCCTCCCTCCGTGGGTCTTGCACAAAGAGGGCCGCTCTGGGTCCTGTTTGCCCTTGAGAGGATCAGCATCTTCTACCCTCTGGGTCCGCCCTGTGGCTCTCCTTCTAAACTCCCTGCTCTGCCGCTCTCCTGTAACCCTCTCTGGCCAGGCTGGACTTCGTGTTGCCCTGCACCCTCTCCCTGCTGGGCCTCCTTGAGGCCTCCTTCCTAGCTGGGGTGGGGGTGAGGGAGGGCACAAGTGGTGGTTATCCCACTTAAGGAGTCAGGGGATCTTGACCATGGTCAGCTTGAATTCCTTAGCTATCTGATCAATAGAACAAAGCCACCCGAGGTACTTGGCATGCTCCTGTAGACGATGGCGTTCTTTGTGTGTTTGAGTGGCCACATCTGGGGTTATAGGAACCATCTACTGAGCACTTGATATATACTATGCCCTGTGGTCAGGGCTTTGCACAAGGTTGCCAATGTCTATCAGAGGGGTCTGATAACCCTGCCCAAGTATGCCTAGCTAGTTGGAGAGAGAGGAACGGATTCGCACCCTTACTGCCCCTACATTTGGCTGTGTCCCTGTGCTGCTAAAGCCTCCGAGCCTGGAGGAAACACAGACATGTAGCAGGAGAGGCCTTCCCTTTGGAAGCTGTATCAGTTATACTCTGGATGCTGAAGTGAGAGGCCTTGGGCTGGGGCCAGAGTTGGGGGTGCTGTCCCGGTGGATCCATGGCATCTTCAGCAAACCCCTTACGCCCTCCTTTTTGTACCTAAACCAGCCTGTCATTCTCTGCCCCCCTCCTCCCAGCCTTCTTCCCACGGACACTTCGATCCCCAGGGTTTGGTGCAAGGGGCCCTCCACCAGCGTGTACTGCACTCCTCACCGCCAGGCCAGAGCCCTCTGCTGGTTCCCTTCCTGTTTCCACTTCCTTAGAATCCACTCTCTGCTTTCTGATTTGTATTCAGAAGACCTTGTAGTTGACTTTTAAATAGGCTGGGGACGCTGGCTGGGAAGGGTCCTGGCCTGGGAGCTTGCTCACCTGGCCCCCTCTCTCGGCAGGTGTCATGTGACTGGCAGCTGCTGCACGTGTGGAGATGCTCTCAGTGGTGGAGAATGGACTGGACCCCCGGGCTGCCATCCCGGTAGGTGGGCAGGGGGGGTCAGGGTGGTGAAGGAGAAACTACTGCTATCTCATGGGCTTCAGCCTGGAGCTCCAGAACAGTTTTAGCAGAAGCAGGGCTCTGAGGAGATGCTGCCCTTTCTCAGGCATCTTATTGGAGTAGGCAACCAAACTGGAGTGAAGCTAGGCCACCTGTCACCTGGGTAGTCAGTGGCATGTATACTTGTTGCTCTAAAGGCCTGTGTTATGTATGTGTGGCCCTGCCTAGGTCATCAAGAAGAAGCTGGTGGGGTCAGTGAAGGCACTGCAGAAGCAGTACGTGTCCTCCGACACAGTGGTCACCAGTGAGGATGGGGATGCCAACACCATGTGCAGCGCCCTGGAGGCTGTGCTCATCCACGGCCTGCACGCCAAGCACATCCGTGCGGAGGCCGGAGGAAAGAGGAAGAAAAGTGCCCACCAGAAGCCGCTGCCTCAGCCCGTCTTCTGGCCCCTCCTGAAAGCCGTGACCCACAAGTGAGCTCAACCTGGGGGGGCTCTGCCTCGAGCAATGTAGGGCACTTGGTTCCTCCTCTTCCGCTGTGAGGAAAACTCACGGCGCCTCTCTGGGTTCTAGGATAGAGACAGTAGGGTTTATCCTGGGGTGCCCTTAGGGTCTGCACCCCTCGGGATGATGTGGGGCTGCCTTGTGTTGCAGGGTGGTTTCTAGTCAGAGCACCCTCCTCTACTGATCTCAGGGTGCCACACAAATATTTTGTATGTTTGCCACGGCTGAAAAACTTAGCAAACCCCGCTTTAGATGGCAGTTGGCAAGCCAGGGCTCACGGGCCACCCCTGCTTTTTTAAAACGAAGCTCATTGGAACATCGCCACGGCCGTTCGTACACATGCTGCCTGCGACTCTTTCTCCCCAACCTTTGCAGAGCTGAGCAGTTGCAACCAAGGTTGGTGTGACCCATTAACCCGAAAATACAAGGGAGCGGCCCAAAGTTCAGGGAAACAATCCATCATTTTATCATTCCGTTTTCGCACAGGATTTGTGAAGCCCCTCGTATTTACTTTCTGGCCCTTTATGAAGTCAGATTGCCAACTCTGCCTTAGAATGTTCCAGCGTCTGTGCGTTAAATGTTAGACATAGTGGTCACCTCCAGATCCTTGGTTTTGCTCCCCAGTTTCAATATTAAACGGGAAATTCCAGGCACAAACACTTTGTAAGTTTTGAATTGTGCACTGGGCTGAGTAGCGCGATAAAGTCTCCCACAACCCCACTCGGGTGGTGAATCAGCCCTTGGTCCAGCATCTCCCTGGTCTGCACCGCTGGCCCCTTTGCCACTCTACAGCTGTCACAGGGTCACAGGGCCTGGGTTCAACTGACCTTGCTTTACTTGGTAATTGTCCTCTCTTATTGCTAGTTATTATTGTTAATCTCCTCCTGTGCCTGTTTCATACACTACACCCTGTCATAGGTATGTATAGGGGAAAGCATAGCATGCGTGGGGTCCATGGTTTCCATCATTTCAGGCAACCAGTGGGGGCCTTGACATATACCCCTCGTGGATAAGGCGGACTAATGCCCTTGTAAGTACGGGTGGGGTATTGAAGGAGTGGAATGCAGGTAGAACAACTGGATGTCCACTTGAGAGACACTTATCTTTGGACCCTGCCCCTAACTGGCCATGCGCTTCTAAGGGCTATTAGATGCCACCTGCAGGCTCACATGCCTTGTCAGTCGCAGGTCTTCCTTGCCATGCCTGCTGCCACTGTCCTGGCTCAGATTCTTGCCTCTCTCCTGGCTGACAGTGAGTGTCCCATTGCGCCCGATCTCACTTGATCTTTCACTAAGTCTGTCAGTGGGGCCGCGTTTTCTGAGCTTGAGCTAATGGGAAAAGACTGTGGTCAGCCAGCCCAAGAAAGAGACCATGCACTGGGGACTTGGGTAGCTGAGAGGAGAGATTTTACCTCAAACCCAGGGATTCGGGAACTGACATTGGCTGATTTTTCTGTTCAGAGAAATCCACCCTGGAAATCTACAAACTTTCCTGCAGCCCCCAAACCCCTCAAACCCGGTAGCCCATAAACCCACTGCTGTTGAGTGCATTCTGACTCATCTCGACCCTCTAGCATGGAGTGGAACTGCTCCTTAAGATCGCCCAGACTCTAAATCTTTATGGGATCAGACAGCCTTGTATTTCTTGAGAGGAGCAGGTAGTGGGTTTGAACCACCAACCTCGAGGTTAGCAACCCAAAGCTTAAACCATTGTACCACCAGGGATCCTCTATAGTTCATAGGCTTCCAGATACCACCTGGGGCTGCCAGCCCCCTTGAGTCTGTTTTACTAGGTTGGGGCCTCAGAACCCATCCTGATCAAGTTCCAAGGTGGTTCTGCTTGGGGAACCATTACCCCATTTTGCCTTATCCCTTTGATACTCAAGCCCCTCTTCTACTGGCTTTGCAACTGAACCACCTCCCAGGACTGTAATCAGAGTGCTCATCACTCTTATTACACTCCTACCCTTTGATGCCTTTTCTCTCACAGTCTCTCTCTACATTGAGGCATGAGAAGGCATAGTGGTTATGCATTGGGCTGCTAACTGAAAGGTCAGCAGTTTGAAACCACCATCCACGCCACGGGAGAAAGGCTTTTCTTTTTTTAAAGTCTCAGAAATTCATGGGGGCAGTTCTACCCTGTCCTATAGGGTTGCTCTGAGTTGGCATTGACTGAATAGCAGTGAGGATTTTTTGATGTCTATTTGCAATCACCGTTCTGGGTTACTGCTCACCAGTAAAGATTATATCACCGGGGCTCGAGGCAGTTCCTTGAACCAAGTCTGCTTTCCCCTTCCCAGGCACATCGTCTCTGAACTGGAGCACCTGATCTTTGTCAACACAGACGTGGGCCGCTGCCGGGCATGGCTCCGCCTGGCCCTCAATGACGGCCTGATGGAGTGCTACCTGAAGCTGCTGCTCCAGGAGCGGGCGCGGCTGTGTGAGTACTACCAGCCCACAGCCCTGCTGCGGGACGCCGAGGAGGGCGAGTTTCTCCTCAGCTTCCTGCAGGGACTGACATCGTTGTCCTTCGAACTCTCATACAAGTCTGCCATCCTAAACGAGTGGACGCTCACCCCATTGGCCCTCTCCGGGCTGTGCCCGCTTTCTGAGCTCGACCCTCTCACTACCTCTGGGGTGGAACTCCAGCGGGAGGAGTCTCTGGATTCCATATCCCATTCCTCGGGCTCAGAAGACATTGAAGTCCAGCACTCCGGCCATAAGATTCATCAGAACAGGAAGCTCACTGCTTCGTCCCTCAGCCTGGACACGGCCAGTTCATCGCAGCTCTCCTGCAGCCTGAACTCCGATAGCTGCCTCCTCCAAGAGAATGGCTCCAAGAGTCCAGAGCGCGCTGAGGAGCCCATGTCCTACGACTCGGACCTGGGGACGGCAAATGCTGAGGATTCAGACCAGTCTCTGCAAGAGTGAGTTCCCCTTCTTCCCCTGCCCCCTCTTCTTCCCTCTTGCCCTTTCCTTCCTTGCATCCACACGGAAGCCATGATGGTTCCTGAGCACTGAACTTCATTAGCGTAGACAGAAAGACAAAGGAGATAGATACCACCTCCTTCTTCAGCGGCTGAAGCTGCCCGGAGCTGTTGCTAGAAGCAACTGGAGGACAGTGAAAAGACGAGTTGGGGCTCAGAGCTCATTTGAGGGCCAGCTCTGACATCTTCCTCACCCTAACCACCCAGAATCAGAGCAGCTCGCATGGCCTTCTAGATTGCCGAACTGCCCCCGACCCCATGACACCGCACTTCTGGCTTGCTGCTTTTACAGTGAGGCATAGTTTCTGCCTCCTTTCACCCTGATTTCTGATCTGCTGGCTCCCACTGTCTCTTTGATTTTGTTTTTAACTTTTT